TCTGGTGCTGGAGCTGGGAGCCTACTGTGGCTACTCTGCGGTGCGCATCGCCCGTCTGCTGCCCCCTGGCGGGCGGCTGCTCACCATGGAGATCAACCCCACCTATGCGGCCATCACCCAGCAAATGCTGGACATTGCTGGGCTGCAGGACAAGGTACAGCTCAGCTGACCCCGGGGACAGAGGCTGGTGGGAGGGTGGACCCAGAGGACACCCAAGCTCGATTCAAGGCCACGTTCACTGGGCTCCCATCGTGTATCCCAGGCTTGGGGTCCCGGGAGGAGCCCCCAGCAGCTGGACAAGGGTGGTGTCGCTGCCTCGTTGTCCTGAGAGCTGGAACCTCGGGAGGGGTGGGGAGAGAGGACTGTCCTCTGAGAACCCCTAAGGAGAGCGGGCGTGGGTGCGCAGACGGGGTCCCCTGGGGGTCCCCATGGGTGGCACCAACAGTGCACTGTGCCAGGTCACCGTGCTGCTCGGGGCGTCCCAGGACCTCATCCCCCAGCTGAAGCACAAGTACGACGTGGACACATTGGACATGGTCTTCCTGGACCACTGGAAGGACCGCTACCTGCCGGACACGCTCCTGCTGGAGGTGAGCCCCTCCCCCACAGGCCACAGGGGCTGCCCGGATGCCTTGCCAAGCCTTGGGGGCAGCCCTGGGCAGGGACCTCCCTCTGCTGGAGCCACTGCCTGAAGCCAACGCATACAGAGGACAGTAGGCCCCTGGGCGGGTGGAGATGGGAGGAGGGCCTTGTGGGGTAGAGGCCAGGTAGGGAGCCTCCAGGGAGGAGGGAGAGGACAACAGAGAACAGAACCAAGGCCTGGTGGCGAGCCCCTGTCCTGGTTTGGAGCAGGCTGGCCGGGCACCCCTGACCACCCCCATCCTGGCCCCGTCTCTCTGTCGCCTGCAGGAGTGTGGCCTTCTGCGGAAGGGGTCGGTGCTGCTGGCCGACAACGTCATCGTGCCAGGGGCTCCTGACTTCCTGGCCCACGTGCGCGGGAGCAGCAGCTTCGAGTGCACACACTACAGCTCGTTCCTGGAGTACATGCCAGTGGTGGACGGGCTGGAGAAGGCCATCTACGTGGGCCCAGGCCGCCCGAACTGACCTTGGCCGTGCCCCCTGCCCTAGTCCCTCCCCAAGCTGGTCCCTGCCAACCCTGCTTCTGCTGTTGGGGGCCCAACAGGCCTGGGCCCTGGTCTTGGCTGGCCTCCCTGGACTGTGGCTTCGGACTGAGCAAACTTGGCCCACTGCAAAGGGCTACTGGCTCACCACCCAAAACACCTGCTGGGACCCTGGGAAAGCCTAACAAAGGCTGACTCAGAGCAGGCGGGGCCCTGAACTGCGCCCCCCCACCCCGCGCGCCAGCCAAGGAGACTCCAATCAGGGCTCTGTAGACAGGAACGCAGGCAAGGCCCCGAAGTGGATGCACCTGCGCGCTGTGGGGCCTTGCACTCAAGTTGTCCACCAGGTGGCAGCACTGCCTCAGCTGAAGCACCAGCGGCCGAAACTCCCGGGACGCCTGGCCCCTGCGCCTTCACCTCCATTTAAGAGTGCATTCTCACCTCTACTAAATCCATCTGTGGAACAGGGATGCCAAGTGCCATGTTTGTTTGCTTTTATAACAACAAAAAAAATTAATCCTGCTTTTTTTATTGTGATAAAATACACAGAATCTATTCTTTGCCATTTTGCCCGTCTCTAAGCGAATGAGTTGGTGGCATTTATCTGGATGGCTCAGCCATGTGGAGCAAGAACTTCCCCTCCCCCACACTCCACCTCTGTCTACCTCTCATCTCTTTTCTCACTTTTTTTTTTTCTTAAAGATCTTTATAAAGTTTATTCAAAAGGCCGAGTTACAGAGAGGAAAGCAGAGAGGTTCCATCCACTATTTCAGTCCCCAAATGACCTCAACAGCCTGGACTGGGCTGGGCCCAAGCCAGGAGCCTGGCTCTCCCACGTGCGTGGGGGCAGGGGACCAGGTCCTTGGGCTGTCACCTGCTGCAACTCCTGTGTGTGGTCAAGGAGCCGGGAGTGGAGATGCAGCTGGGACTCGAACTCGGGGCCGCTGATGCCGGCTGCGGGCGTCTTACCCGCGGTGCCGGGTGCAGTCCCGAGTGCCTTCTGGATGTCTCTCCGAGCCCGACTTTGAAAATGCTTCTGGCGCTCTGGGGCTGAGTTATCGGAGCTCCCTTCCTCCCGGGGATCTCTGTCCCTGGGCAGCTGGACGCCATGCAGACAGGTGCTCCCATTCTCTGGCTGGTTCTTTCCCGCTCTGGATGCACACAGGTTCTGCAGGTTTTGTTTGCTGCGTGTTCGTGTCACGTCTCAGACTCCGCTGCCACTGGCAGGTGTCGGGGTGGGGACAGCAGGTTAGCCTGGTGCTCAGACAAGCCCACATCCCTTAATGTATGCTTGGTGTGAGTCCTGGCTACTCAGCTTCTGATCCAGCTTCCTGCCAAAGCAGTGGAAGATGGGCTAGGTGCATGGGTCCCTCCCTGCTGCCCACGATGGAGACCCCCGCTTCAGCCTGGCCCAGCCCTGGCTGTTTCAACCATATGGAGAGTGAACCAATGGCTGGAGATCTCTCTGTCTCTTTGTCTCTCTCTGAGCTTATAAAGAACCCCCTGGGAAGCTGCTCATTCCTCTGCCTTCCACCAGGCTCAGGGGCCCCTCCCACTGCAGGTCACGACAGCCGCATCCGGGGCCAGGAAGGCAGGACCCAGTGTCCCTGGCCAGGGGACACTGCAGGCCATGTGTGGCCACCTCTTCAAGGCCTCTCCCTGTCCCCTGTGATGTCTGTCCTCGCCCCGCTGGACTCTGGTCCTTCCCCTGGACTCTGGTCATTTCCATTTCCAGTTTCCAGTTTCTGGTCACAGTTGACCAAATGCAGACTTGAGCTGCACACAAATTTGATCCCCTTTGCTGCAGACATCTCCAGCCCTGCCTGAAGCCTGGAAGGCAGGAGCTGGGCTCAAGAGCCCGCCAGGGTGGCCTCCAAGCTGGCCAGCAGGGGGCAGCCTTGGGCACTCTGGGTTTCTGTGCTCTAATGTAGGGGTCTGGACGGAGGGTCCTCTGCCCCAGGCTGCCTGGAGCCGGCGCTTGGGCTGTATCCGGGACCACGTCCATTCTCAGGGGCCAACTGCTCTGGTCCCCGGGCTCGGTGGGTGGGGCTGTGTCCTCTGTCCTGTTTGCTGTTGCCAAGAACACAAACCCATGATCCGGGCACTTTGGGAAGAAAGGTTTATTTTTGGCTCATGGTTCTGGTCCGAAGTCCGAGGTGCTGGTCTTTTGGCTGGCAGAGGCCCAGGGTGTCCAGGGCAGGGAGGCCCCTCCCTCTGCTTATACAACTCCAGGACGCAACTGTGGGGAGCTCCACCCCTCCCCACGATGTGCTCACTGCATCCTGATACCCCCACAGCCCTCTGTACACCACAGCTGGGCTAACTGCCCACCCTCTGGGTCCCTCACCCTCGGGGGTTAAACTCCAGCCGGGGTCCCAGAGGGTCCAACCCAGGCTCTCCCCAGAGCCAGGGGCAGACAGAAATCCAGGAGAGAGAGGCACCATCAGGCACTCGTAGAATGAATGAAAGTTTTCCTACTTTTCACACAAAAGAACGATTCATCTGTGAAGGAAGCGCAGGGCCACCGAGAGTCTGGGCTCGCCGGGAAATGCTGAGGGTGTCCCTGAGAACTGCGTGGGACTTGAACAAGTTGGAGACTAGGCTTTTTTTTTTTTTTTTTGACAGGCAGAATGGACAGTGAGAGAGAGAGAGAAAGGTCTTCCTTTGCCGTTGGTTCACCCCCCCAATGGCCGCCGTGGCCGGCGCGCTGTGCTGATGCAAAGCCAGGAGCCAGGTGCTTCTCCTGGTCTCCCATGGGGTGCAGGGCCCAAGCACCTGGGCCATCCTCCACTGCACTCCCTGGCCACAGCAGAGAGCTGGCCTGGAAGAGGGGCAATCGGGACAGAATCCGGCACCCCCACCGGGACTAGAACCCGGTGTGCCGGCACCGCAGGCGGAGGATTAGCCTAGTGAGCCGCGGCGCCAGCCAATTTAATAATTTTTTAAAAGGATTGTGTTTTTGCATGCTCAGTCCTGGCTGTTCCTTCTTGCCATGGCGCCGGCCGAGAATGGACTTTTAAAGACGCTGATCTTGGTGCCAAAGTGTTTCTGGAACCCTCGCGTAGGAAGTTCATAGGCAATGCATATTCTGAGCATGGGGGCCAGGGCCGCGCTGGCTGCGCTGGCCAAAGTGAGGGCTGCTACAGCGAGTGCATGCAGGTTCCCCAGTGCGCGGTGACCAGAGCTGCTTTCCCGCCTTGTTAGCCGGTATGCTCCCCTGGCCAAGGGAGGGAGGGGCGGGTCTTCCTGCAGGTGCCATTCCTCACGGTACCCAACCATCAGGTTGCAGGTGACATATCCTTCACTCCTGACCTGGGGGGAGGACCCGGGGAGTCGTGCCAGGGGGAGACCTGAGGCGGCCTGCAGTTAAGGACAGGGCGGGTAAGGGGACAGGAGCCGAGCAGTAAAGCCCCTCCCCTCCAGGCCCCATCCTCTATCCCCGTCCCTTCTCCTCCTGCCCTGTGGCCTCGCCCCTGCCCTTCATTGCCAAGATAGGAGGCCAGATGGGGATAGAGCCCTTAGCCCGCTAGGCCACTCCCGAACCGCGCCCCATAAAGCCCACCACTGCCCTGGCGGAATGACAAGATTGGGAGAAGCGACCCAGCCCTGACCACCGTGAAGCGGGGGCCCGCAGCTGAGGGGACAGAAGGGCAGAGGCGGGGACAGGCGTAAAGCATTAAAGCCCCGCCCGCCTCTCTGGGCCACGCCCTTCTCCCGGCCCCCTCTAGCCACGCCCTCTGCGCCACACCTTCTCCCTGTTGTTGCCTAACCCGGAGGCAGTACAGGCGAAGAGTACTGAAGCCGCTAAGCCACGCCCACCGCCACGCCCCTCTGCCCGCCACGCCCCCTCTCGTCCTGCCCCTCGGCCACGCCCCCGCTGTGGGCGGTGGCCGCGCTGGGCCTGGCGCCATTGGGGCGGCTGCAGTGCTGAACCGCCGGCTCTGGGCTTTGCTGCGTATCGGCTACAACGAGTTCTTCCTGCAACCGAACCGGAACCTGCTCATGGACGACAGCAAGGAGCAGCGCATCCTGCGCCACGTGCGGCAGCACGCGCAGCGCGGGGACCCGCAGAGCGTGCTGGACGCCATCGACAACTACAGCTCGCAGGAGCGAACCATGTGCCTGGGCAAAAAGAAAGGTGGGCGTCGCGGCCGGCGGGCTCTGGACACGGATCGCACAGGCCTTGAGGGGGCCGTAGGAGAAGCGCTTCTGGTCGCCTTGTTTCTGGCGTTAGCGCCTTGATCAGGCTGGGCTGGGGGGATCGACGGGAGCCCTGGGGGCTGAGCCACAGCCCAGCGTCTGCCTGGGTGCTGCAGTAGCCTGGACACTTGGGGCCGGAGCCTCCGCCCAGGCCACTGTCCAATCGGGGTAAGGGGAGTGTTGGACAATTCGTGTTTGACCCCGGAAAGAGAGCTGGAGGGGGGAGCCCCTGGGTCGCAGTGGACGCTGGTCTGTGGTGTCTCCTTGCGACCCTGCCACTGGCACGCCAACAGCACGGCTGGGCACGGGCGCCTGCACGGGGGTGGGCGGGGTGTGGCTCCTGGTGACCTCTGGACATCTGAGTCATGGGACCCGCCAGTCGTGTACTTCCTCTGTTCTTGGACTCCAGCCAGGGCACAGGCATGGTTGCCGCACTCCCTGGAGTGGGGCTTGGGAACAAGGTTTCACAGCCCCTGCCAGACCCCTGCGAACCTGATGACCCAGGAGGCCTGAACCAGGCAAGGTGGGAGAGACAGGGGCAGGTGCGAGTCAGTGGGGCCAGGTGCCAGGACTGGGAGCTTGGGGGTACAGCAGACCCCACAGTGGGGAGGTGGGGTGGGACGGGAGAGGGATCTGGGGCCAGGTGCCCCCCCCCCTGCACTCAGGACACCCCTCCCCACCCCTGCCCCTTGCAGGAGCGATCATGGACTCCGTGATCCAGGAGTACCGCCCCTCTCTGGTGCTGGAGCTGGGAGCCTACTGTGGCTACTCTGCGGTGCGCATCGCCCGTCTGCTGCCCCCTGGCGGGCGGCTGCTCACCATGGAGATCAACCCGGAGTTTTCTGCCATCACCCAGGAGACGCTGGACATTGCTGGGCTGCAGGACAAGGTACAGCTCAGCTGACCCCGGGGACAGAGGCTGGTGGGAGGGTGGACCCAGAGGACACCCAAGCTCGATTCAAGGCCACGTTCACTGGGCTCCCATCGTGTATCCCAGGCCTGGGGTCCCGGGAGGAGCCCCCAGCAGCTGGACAAGGGTGGTGTCGCTGCCCCGTTGTCCTGAGAGCTGGAACCTCGGGAGGGGTGGGGAGAGAGGACTGTCCTCTGAGAACCGCTAAGGAGAGCGGGTGTGGGTGTGCAGATGGGGGTCCCCTGGGGGTCCCCATGGGTGGCACCAACAGTGCACTGTGCCAGGTCACCGTGCTGCTCGGGGCGTCCCAGGACCTCATCCCCCAGCTGAAGCACAAGTACGACGTGGACACATTGGACATGGTCTTCCTGGACCACTGGAAGGACCGCTACCTGCCGGACACGCTCCTGCTGGAGGTGAGCCCCTCCCCCACCCCACTACATTGGAGGTGGAAAAGCCAGGACCCCTACAGGTGCTCATATGGGATGCAGGCATCCTTAGCAGTGGCTTAACCTGCTGGGCTACGGCGCTGGCCCCACTTTCTTTTTTTTTTTTTAAGATTTATTTATTTATTTGAAAGGCAGTGTTAAGAGAGAGGCAAAGACAGAGGCAGAGAGAGAAGTTTTCCATCCACTGGTTCTTTCCCCAAATGGCTGCAATGGTCAGAACTAGGGCAAAACAAAGCCAGGAGCCTGGCGCTTCCTCTGGGTCTCCCACGTGGGTGCAGGGGCTCAAGGACTTGGACCATCCTCTACTATTTTCCCAGGTGCATTAGCAGGGAGCTGGAGTGGAAGTGGAGCAGCTGGGACTCGAACTGGGATCCATATGGGATGCCAGCACTGAAGGCGGTGGCTTTACTCACTACACCTCCACGCCAGACCTGTCAATAGCATTTTTATTTTATGATTTTGTCAGCACTTCTGTGTTCCCAGGTCAAACTTCAGGCCTGAGCCGCCTTGCTCTGGTCTGTGCTTATGCCCCGCCCCCTGCGCTCCTTCTGGGAGGGAAGCGGGTGCCTGTCCCGGCTCAGACACACAAGCCTCCCAGGAGTACTGATCCTGTCCAGGCCTCGGGCCATCGCTGTGGCTGTGTCCAGTGCTTATGCTTTGCTTCTGCGGAGAGCCCAGGCCAAGGAACCCGTGCATGCTGCTAGGGCCCCTGCAAGGGTGGAGATGGGGACCCCCAAGTTGAAGAGCTCAGGGCTGCCCAGAGCAGCACCCCAGGAGGCAGCCTTGTTGGTGGGGAGTCGGCCCCATCCCACCCCAGGCACGTGTCCTTGGCACCTCCCACTTGTGGGCGCCTGTGTGCGTAGCAACCAGCTGTCTCTGGGACCAACTGGCCTGCGGGGCCACTCTCCCTCATTCACCCAGCTAGCATGTACTGAGCACCAGCTGTGTGCCTCGGGCTGTTCTAGGCCTGGGGATGGATTCAGGAGTCAATGAGGCAGAAGGCGCCTGTCTGCAGGGCTTGGACCTCCTGGAGGTGGGCGGAGACCCTGGCTGGGTTCCTTCCTGCAGGAGATGTGGTACCAACCCGAGTGTCTCAGTGACAGCCAGGCCCCAAGGTAGACCCAGGCCAGAGCATGGGGCCGAGGTGTGGTGGCAAGCCCCTGTCCTGGTTTGTGGCCGGCTGGCTGGGTATCCCTGGACACCATCCTCTCCCCTCCCCACCCTGGCGCCATCTCTCTGTCGCCTGCAGGAGTGTGGCCTTCTGCGGAAGGGGTCGGTGCTGCTGGCCGACAACGTCATTGTGCCAGGGGCTCCTGACTTCCTGGCCCACGTGCGCGGGAGCAGCAGCTTCGAGTGCACACACTACAGCGCCTTCCTGGAGAACATGCCGGTGGTGGACGGGCTGGAGAAGGCCATCTACGTGGGCCCAGGCCGCCCGAACTGACCTTGGCCGTGCCCTCTGCCCTGGGTCCCTCCCCAAGCTGGTCCCTGCCAACCCCGCTTCTGCCACTTCGGGATCTGTCCTCAAATGCCACGTGTACTCGGGGCCTGGGTCCAGGCCTTGCTGGATTCCCTGGTTGGTGGCTTCGGACTGAGCAAACTTGGTCCACCGCAAAGGGCTACTGGTCACCACGCAAAGCACCTGCGAAAGCCTAACAAAGGCTGACTCGGAGCAGGCGGGGCCCTGGACAGCGCCCCTGTCTCAGCCAATGAGACTCCAATCAGGGCTCTGTAGTCTGGCAGGCAGGCAGGCACCGCCAGGAAGCGGATGCACCTGCGCGCTGTGGGGCCTTGCACTCAAGATGTCCACCAGGTGGCAGCACTGCCTCAGCCGCCGCACCAGCAGAGGAATCTCACCGCACACTTTCGCCTGCCGTGCCTTCACCTCCATTGTAATGCACCTGCACCTCTTTCCTGAAGCTGGGTGGCTGTCCTCATCCTATCATGCCATGTCTGAATGACGTGTAACAGAAATTAGAGATCCAGGTATTTCAGTACAAGATGGCACGGGTTCCATTCTTCTCAAATTCTGGGTTCTCACCCCTTAGTTGCTGGCTGCCTTTGATGGGAGGTGGCCCTTGCAGGCTGGGCCCTTGGCCGGCACAGCTGGCCCAGGGAGCGCCCCGCCCTGCTATGCACTTCTGCTCCGGTGGCCTGGCCAAGGGCACCTGTTGGTCCCACAGGACCGGAGGGGTGCAGTCAGCAGGCCGTCATGTCCAACCGGAAAGACAGAGACAAGTGTGGCCGGCAGCCTGGGTACATGATTGTGGGGTACAGATGAACCCCACTCTCCACCCATACAAACTGAGGCCTTGGTGCTGGACCCCAGAGGAGGGGAGGCCACTAGCGGCTGCCCAGAGAGACCTGAGCCACACAAGCTGAAAGTTGCTTTTTTTTTTTTAATTTTTAACTTTTCTTACAAAAATTTAGATGTGTACCAATAGTCTCATTTTGGTTTACTGTAAATGCTTTTGTCATAAGTGTTTTTCTCCTGTTTTTAAGCACAGACAGCAGGCACTGAACAGCAGCAGGCCCCGGTGCTGCCCAGGGTCAGCCCCCAGGGGGTCGCTCCTTGAGGTCCTGGGCAGGTGGACGCTGGGAGGCCACTGCCACGGTCGGGAAGGGCGCAAATAGCCAGAGCCCTGTGCCGCTGCCCCCACACCCGTGGTCAGCCTGCCGTGAGGCACAGGGCAGCCCCTCTAGCTTCTTTCCCTGAGCCCCCTCCTTGCCTGGCTACCTGCCCGCCCTGCGCACACGCACACACACGCACACACACGCGCGCGCACACGCGGGCAGCTCTGCTGGCCCCGGGCCCTCCCCGGCGCGCAGCCGCGTCCAGCCTTCTCCCTGGCGCCCTCTCTCGGCTCGCTGGGACACAGCACCAGGTCGGCCTAAAGCAATCAGGTCCGAGAAGAGCGCGTAGGGTGGCAGGGACCCGGTGCTGCGGGAGTTGAGGGTGGGGGGTGTCGCTGCCAACCCCGGCCGCCAGGGGGCTCCGAGCTCCACGGCAGGGGTCTGCTGTGGACGGCCCTGCTGCGGTGATCCGGTGGCTAGGAACCCACGGCCGGACCCGGGCCCTGCGGAGCGAGAGTGGGAAGCGGGCGCTGCAGCCCTGCGCACAGGCGGCGAGCGCACAAGGGGGCCCACGCCCCAGTCATGGGTAGTGTGGGCTGGCCCCAGGGGTCCTGTGTCAGGGTCGATCACAGCCAGCAGATGGTGCTGGCAGGTTTGGGGGGACCCTCCCTCCCTGCTCCGTCCCATCCCCCAAGGACTCTCCCTCCGGGCCCTGGGCTTGGCCTCCCCACTCCCCCACAGGTATCAGGGCCGCTGCACACCTGCCGTGGGCACACAGGGAGAGCAGAGCATGCAGCCAGCAGAGGTTACCAGAAGCCCGGCCCGGAGGGGAGGGCACAGCCGGGAATGTGGAGAGACGTACCAGGCATGCAAGCTAGACCCAGGAATCAACTGGCTGAGGCTTAGCGTCCCCCACGGCGTCCACCAGCCTGACCGCGGGCCTGGGGGGCCCGGGGGGCGGGGCCTTCCTGCCGGGGTCGGGCTGCGCAGCGCACGGTGGGTAAGGGGGCAGGTGGGCGGCAGAAGCAGAACAGAGCCGGTTAGTGGGGGCTGCGGGGTGGGCTGGCCAAGGCAGCACGGGGCGGGGGAGGGAGTGATGCCAAGGGCAGGAGATGAGCTGGCTGGCGGGCCTGCGGGAACTGGCAGGGGGCGGGTGGTGGGCCCTCGCCCCGCACTTGTGCACATGCAGGCAAGGGTACAGACGGGCAGGCGGCCTCTGGCCCTGCCGCCCCCCACTCCCAGCAGCGATGGGCTCCCAATGGTGTCTGCACGCTGATTCCGACCTGAGGGGGCTGCCTGCCCGCCCAAGCTGTGGCCCGGGGTGGGGGTGGGGAGGGGGCGGGGCCCAGACTTAGTGCTGCCCAGGTGCTCTGTGGGCAACCCCTACGGGACGGGGCGGCCCACAGCCACTCACTTTCAACGGTTCCTTCTCAGAGGCCTCCCCTGCGGAGTCACTGCCCCGCGCCCTGCGCTCCCGGCGGTCCACAGTGGAGTAGCCGTCTGGGGTGGGGACAGGAGGAGCAGCTTCAGGAGGGACACTCTAGCACAGCTCCCTCTCAGCTCAGAAGGCCGGCATCTGCCCACCCTGAAGGGGGGGTCACCCTGTGCTGGTGTCTGCGCTCCCAGCAGCCCCTAAACCCAGCAGGTGCAGCCCCTAAACCCAGCAGGTGCAGCCCCTTGGCTACAGGTCTGGGCCCTGGCTGGGAACTGAGCCTTCCCTGGCCCTCTGTCCCAAAGCTCTCTCATCCAGCCAGCACCTCCTGGGAGGCCTTCCAGCACCCCCCCCCCCCAGCCACACTGCACCTGCACTCACCTGGGCCGAGAGTGTCCATGGGGATCACGTCCCGGCTGCCCTGCTTCTCGCTGTCTGCAAGGCATAAGCAGGCAGCTGGCTGCAGGTGGGGCCGGGGCAGCCTAGCCCGCGGCAGGGCTGGCCTGGACAGCCTGGGCACCCTCTGCTACCAACCATCTCTGCGCCCCAGCCTGGCCTCTGGCCACCAGCACCCACCCCCACCCCAACCCGCGGCCACTGGCACCTGTGCAGGCACCACGTGACAAGAAGCACCCAGGAAGCAGAGAGCCGGCAAAGGGTCCGCCATCCCCCATCCTGTCCGGAGGAAGCCCGGGTCTCTCCTCCAGCCCCTTGCCACCTTGTCAGTGTCAGTGCAGGTCAGGGACGGGCTCCCACACGCACCCAGGCTCTTGTCCACCAGCGGCAGCGTGCTGTCATCGAAGCCACCGGGGCTCTGGGATCCCTTAGGCACCTTGCTGGCCGTGGCCGCCGACTGCAGAGGCACGGGGCACAGGCATGGGGTGAGCTGGCCGCACTGCCCGCTTTGGGTGGGGGGCCGAACCGGCAGAGTCAAGAGAGGGGCTGGCCAGGGCACTCCCCACCTGGAAGCGCGCCTTGGTCCAGCCGTCCCTCTGCAGGGCGCCGCGCAGCTCCTTGTAGCTCCACACGGTCTGCAGCACGTGTGACGCCGCCTTCGCTTCGCGCACGGACTGGCTGTGGCGCGCGGGCGGGGGGGGGGGGGAGGGGCGGGGTCAGTGGCCACACCCCCCGCGCGCTCGGGCCCCGCCCCGCGGCCCCGCCCCACCCACCTGGAGGCGCAGAGGGCCACGAGCGCGGGCACGCCGCGGGCCTGCAGGAGCGAGCGCGCGTTGTCCAGGCTGTCCGACACGATCTCGTGGATGGTGTTGAGCACGGCCACCACCGTGTCCTCCTCCAGCCGGGCCCCCGGGCGCGTGGGTGCCTGCGCGTTGCGCACGTTCCGCACCAGCTCCACCATGGCGTAGCTCCCTGAGAGGGGCAGGGACAGGTGTTAGGCCGCTCCTCTGCCCCCCGCCCCTGCACATGAGGGGCACGGAGCCCCAGGACACCACAGCCGCACCGCTGTGGGACCCCCAGGCGACAGGACCGGGACCAGGGCTCCGAGTCCGACCCCGAGGGGCCTGCAGGTTCCTCACCTATGAGGTCCTTGTTGCGCCGGTCCAGCGAGAGGTTGCGCAGCGCGATGGCCACAGCGCGCACCACCTTGTCGGTCTCAGACTGCAGCAGCTCTACCAGCACCGGCAGCCCACGCTCCTTGCGCACCGTGGCGCGGATGTACGTGGCCCACTGCGGCGGTCCGGGGGTGGGGGGCCGATTAGTGCGCAGGTGCGCTCTCCCCACCTCCGGACCCTGGCCGCTCCCCTCCTCCCCACGGCCCAGGGCCCCCGAGTCCCGCCTGCCCTCTCACCATCCAGTTGCCAGCGCTGAGGTTCTGCAGGGCCCCGGCGGCAGCCTCCAGGGTGTTGAAGTTCCGGCTCTCCGTGAGCAGGGAGAGGTAGAGACGCACCACCTCCGGCTGGTACAGCAGCTCAAAGCCTGGGCACAGCACGGGACACCCACCGCCCACTGTCACCCAGTCTCCTCCCTCACCAGGGCCGCGGAGGGGCGTGGAACCGAGAATGTTTATTATCAGGGGAATCATCCCCAAGGAGGAAGCGCTCCCACTGCACAGAGGGGCAAACTGAGGCTCAGGGGACAATGGGTTCTGGTGAGGTCATGTCTTCCTCAACCCAGGAGGCGGGGCTCGGTAACTATGGCCGCGCCCCTAGCAACAGGACCCGCCTTCCCTGACAACAGAAGGAAGGCTTCCCTTCCTGTGGAACTGAAAACTGCAACCAGGGACACACCCCTAGCAACAGGGCCCGCCTCTGCCGGGAATGTGACTGAAGCTGAGCAGTCCGGCCACGCCCCTAGCAACAGGGCCCGCCTCTGCCAGTGTGTAATTGGCGCGGAGCAACCAAGGCCCACCTCCGCCGGTATGTAATTGAAGTTGAGCGCAGGTCCACACCCCTAGCAACAGGGCCCGCCTCTGCCAGTGTGCAATTGGCGCGGAGCAACCAAGGCCCACCTCCAACGGTATGTAATTGAAGTTGAGCACAGGTCCACACCCCTAGCAACAGGGCCCGCCTCTGCCAGTGTGTAATTGGCGCGGAGCAACCGAGCCCCACCTCCGCCGGTATGTAATTGAAGCTGAGCACAGGGCCACGCTCCCAGCAACAGGGCCCACCCATTCCCCGTGGCAATGTTGCGGTGCAACCAGGGCTGCCCCAGGTTCCCCCACAAGCGAGGCCCCAGGCTGGCACGCAAGGTGGTGCCCCACACAGTGCTCCAGAGCTGAGGGGCCAGGGCGGCCTTCCAAGCCTTCCTGTCCACACATGGATATTTGCCTGGCTCGAAAAGCAACCTCCTCCCTCTGACTGTAATGCATCCCCACAGACCACCCCCCTCCCCGCCCCCCCACGGCTGGAAGGCTTGGCCACTTCCACCCACTGCGGGGGGGGGGGGTGGCAGCCTCTGGGCTCTTCCACTTCGCAAGGTGGCCCGGGTCCACTCGTTCAGGCAGGTGGGTTCCCATTGGACTGCACAGAGCAGGAG